ATACAAAACAAGCGATTGAATAGCAGCTTTTGGAACGTTCGCCCAACTCAGCAGCACAACCGCTGATTACTGGCCCTTGTAAAGGATGGATCAATGCTTCGAGAAGCAAACAAATTTACTAGGAAAGAAAGTTGCAACAATTTTTATTTTTTCCAATTTCAGTTTTTTATTTTTTATAATTTTTTGTATTTCACATGGCACGCTTTGATTTAGAAGAAAAAATTCAGAACAGTTTTTGACACTTTCGATACCAGAAGCCATGGTGGAATAATAACAAGGTGTTGTCAGTAGCGACGTGTTTGTTGTGATTTTGACAAGATCGGCATGCTTATTTTCAGTGCTGCCGATCTTAATTTTTATACTACTATTCGTTGGGAAATAGTATCTAAAATACTCCATTTTAGTAATTCGTTTTATCGCAATTTTTAAAGAACTTGGTGTTTTCAGAACAATATTAATATTTAAAATTGCTGGATTTGTATAATTTTTGTACTCAAAAAGTAGAAAAATAAAAGATATCGTGGTTATCAATGGAGAAAAACTTTCACAAAAATAGTATGGAAAGGCGATTTTTTGTATTAAATAACTTTTGCTGCATTGTCATAATATTGAGCCAAATGAACTACTGATACACTAGAATAGAGTGGTGGCATGGTTAAATTAGGAATTCGCTTATATTATCGATATTTATGTGTTTTAATCTATTTAGAATATCATTTACAGTCTAATAGGAAATTGCCTTATTTTACAGCTTTTACTTTTTTAAGGTTACAATATAAGTCCAAACTGTGTGGAGCTGCCGATACAAACATATATTCAGGCTTATAAGCCTGTAATTATACATTTTTCTACATTTAATTTGAAGTAGTATGCACCAACGGGTTAAAAGTAGTAAATAATTAGTACCTTTTCTAGTACTTTAAAATGCGTGACCGGAATAGACCTGCCGAAAAAGTGAGGTTAAGTTACTGACAACACCTTGTTATTATTACACCATGACCAGAAGCAACAACAAAATACACGCAAATGTTGTTTTTGCTCTACTGATACTACCTGTTTAATGTGCCTTGATTGGATCCAAACAAATTACTAAAACAACACAAATTGTCGTTGGTGTGTGGTGATATAAATAAAGAGCATAGAAATGGATGAGGGAGTGTGCCAAGGTACTGTGTTAAAGGGCGCAACTTCCGCATTTGAATACTTTGTTTATGTTTAAAAATAGAATAACAATTAAAAAAGCTACACAGAGCTGAAGTAGAAAGACGGATGTATGTAGTATGTACACATGTACATTTTGCTGTAGATAAATTCAAACTATGGAGCATTTGATATGCAGATGTAGCTAAAAGAAACCAACAAAATATGCGCAAGGCATGTTAGAGCATCAAAAATATGGCCACTTACAAAATATTCGTTTCATTTCACATGGACATTGTATGCACTTACATGTGAATGTTCGTTATTTTTAGAATACGTAAATTTGCATGTAAGAACGATTGTTTTTTATTTCCGTACAATTACTAAATTCGTATAGGAATTACCAAATAGGGCGCATACATGCTGGTAGCAACAGTAATAAGAGAACATAAAATCCAAAAACAGCAAGCTTAAAATATGTATTTATTTGAAAAGTTACACGCGAGTGATGTGTAAATAAAAGAATATAAAACAATTTTCATATTACTGCTAAAAAATATGTTAATTATGCGCGAATAAATAATGGATGTTTGTAAGTAAATAGTAGCGCATACATACATAAGTATGTCTGTGCAGCGAAGCAACCGCAAGCAAAACAATAGGCGGAAAACGTTTGGGGAATGTAATTATGGGCAGATGGGATAGATGTGGCTTATGTATGTACATATGTATGCATGTTCCTATGTATGTACATATGCGCAGATCTTTGCATTGTGCAATATGTAGTGGCAGATGCAAAGCCATGTACATACATACCAATTATTTTTTATACATATCCAGGTAGACAGACATTTGAAATACAAATTGGCCTACCTTCTCACCGGACATTGGCGTACCTTTCTTTGAAGTAATCCAAAGTAACCGATTCTGAGTCAAATTCTGAACATTCAGGCAGAGAATCACTATCGAAGGAACTAAATCCACCCAGATTTATGTTGGCAATTGCATTTTTGCTAAAAACAGATTGTTTTTGCGGTTGGTTCAGCTGTGTCTGTTGCTGCGCCAACTTGTCTCCACCTGCGTCTCTGCTAGACATCTTCGTTGTTCGTACACAAAATTATGCACTTATATGGAGACTATTGAAACGATAGGAAAGTTAATGATTTCCACAAAATTGATATTTTATCATCAATACAAATATGTAAATTATAAAACACTTTTGCACTTTCTCTTTTATCTGAAAAAATTTTCGCAGATTGTTCCTTGAGCCTTGATTTCTCCTTTCCCCTTCGAAATTGTCTATTTTGAATCACACATCCATCCACACGCACATACACACCAAAATGGCGACAGTATCACTGCAATTCGCTACTTTTCAATGCCATTTTTGCAATTTTTACACATATAACTTAATGCACCCTTACATTTTCAATAGATCCACACTTTGCTTTATCGTTTAGTAAGAAGATTTAAATTTAAATAAAAACTAAATTATAAAAAATCAACGCTTTTCTACTTTCGCGTCGCACATAAACAATCGTCTCCGAAAATTTCTCCACTTTGCTGCTTCTTTTAGAGCTGGGATACTATCGATAGTTGAAAACTGTCGCCTCTATCGATAGTTTTTGAAACTATCGATGTCGGTTTTAGCAAGACTTTACAATGTCTCATGTTTACTTCTCTACACATTAAATTAATTTTTTTTAATACAAGATACAGTAAAATGGTAAAATGTTAATAATTTATAAGTATAAGTTGTCAATTTAAACGAATATCTTTTTGTTTGTTTTGTAGTATTATAAATGTATTTTTATGGCCAATTCAACTTTTTTGCACTTCAAAAGGGACAAATAAAATTCGAATTTAATTTTGCCATATGAAAATTAATTCCGATTTTGCCTGTCGCTCTTCAAGGCATATAAGTTATATAATTCAGAAGCTTAAATTGNTACACTCTGATTCGTAATTGCTGCTTCTCTGTATTTAACGTTCTCTGTTCAGTACCTCTCACGACGATAGTACTATCGATACTATCGATGTTTTCAACTATCGTTTCGAAAACTATCGAATGGCGGTACAATCGATAGTATCACAGCTCTAGCTTCTTTTGCTGCATGAAGAATGAATTCGCTGCAATGTTGGGCATTAAACAAGGCGTATTTATACAANGTAAAAACAACCTTACGTCAATAAATGCTCAACCTTAACAAAAATATGTAGCTCTTCATTTTAGCTACTATTAGTATTATTTAGCTTTTTTCGACCGTTTTAGCTCCAAACGAAATTTCTCTGGCAACACTGCGTAAATCATTCAAAATGCTTAACATTCATTAAATATACGAAATGTTATTTCTCGCTCAGCTCTGTTACTCCGCCGCTCTTATGTTCCACAGCAGTGTGGGCTGGTGTGGTGTGTACGCAATCAGATTTTGATAACTTTTGACAATTTACACTCTGATTCGTAATTGCTGCTTCTCTGTATTTAACGTTCTCTGACAGCTCTAGCTTCTTTTGCTGCATGAAGAATGAATTCGCTGCAATGTTGGGCATTAAACAAGGCGAATTTTTACAAGGTGGTGTTATCGGATCCGCTGATTTCACGGCGAATTTGTACCTTTTGTCAAAATGGTGTGTTTGTTGTAATTTTGCTTTGTACTGATTGTCAATGTGCGTATAATTTGTTGTTGTAATTTTTGATTTTGTTCTGTCAACACCACCTTGTATAAATTCGCCTTGGCATTAAATATTGAAGAGTTGCATCCGCTAAAAGCTTAAACAGACGGCTGCGTTGATTAGGACTAACTCAGAATTAATCCGTATCAACTGCAGTTAATTCCCGTGTTGATCCGGATCAACGCTGTCAACTGTTTATGCTTTAAAAGCGATTGCAAAATGTTTGTGAGTAAATAATTGGGCAATTTCGAAATGAAATTGAAGGTGTTTATAATAAATTCAGACAAGTTTAATTCAGTCAATTAACCTTATTATTGAGCTATCCCTTATTGTCACACGCAGTAAGCTGCTGTTGCACTCATGGAAAAGTTGGTACAATCGTACTTTCATTTAGTTTGAAAGTACATTCGGTACAAAGACACCATTTTAGGTACATTTTCGTTCAAATTTCTGATGTGGCCATCTGATAAGGTGAAATTTAACCCGCTGTAGGTATAAGAGTGAGAAGGAACATCTGACACTATATTATTTGAAAATTTACTTGAAAAAAATTCTATAAGATAGCCGAATTTCAAGAAAATTAAGAGAATAAAGCGAAAGAGCTGTTTTATTACTTATACCTGTTTATAATTTCCCCATGCGCCTTGATCAAGAATCAATTTCAATCTCAATTTCGATGACAGTCTGTTTTCATTTCATTTCATTTATTGTTTTTATTTGCTTGTGATTGACCTTCGATGTTCTTCTTTTTATTCATTTACAATTCATATAATATTAATAATATATTCATATAATAATTATAATAATAATTTTCGGAGTTTTTTCGTGAAGTTGAGACAATTTCGTCTCAATTTCGTTGAAATCATGCAATTTGAGCGGTAGGGAAACGCAATTTTAAGGCATTTTCTTATATAAGGAATTTCCACTGACAATGTATGCAATTTAAATGTCTTGTGTAAACAGACATAACGACTATTTTTATAAAAGTAATGGCACGAGAATTTTTTAATGCCCAAAATTGAATTTAAAAATGTTGTAATTTAATGGCTGGTGGAAATTCAGCATTAGTAAGAACATTGGTAAAAAAAAAAAAAAACAAATATTCGTTTGTAGAAGGTAGATTAATAAAATACGCTGTGAAAATCTGATTTTCCCAAATATTCAAATGTTTATAAAATGTATAATGTGTGTTTTATTTTACTTCTGGCCTCCTCATTTCGCCACAAGCAGCTGTCAGTTTTTATCGCAGACGTCAACAAGCAAATGTCTACCGCTGCGTGTGAGTGTGTGTAGTTGTTTTTTCTTCTGTTTGTGCTGAAATCGTCCATGAAGCTTTGCTTTTGTTTTGTATTATTAATCGAAATTTTTAATAAAAATCGGGCCGGTAATTTTTATATATTAACCGGTAACAGCAATAAAAATGGAGGCTACATCAGAGTCAATCAGCCGATTGCTAACAGGCGGCTCGGCTGAGGAGTATCTACAGTGTCCTACGTGCGAGTGCAAGCTACAGCATTGGGAAGTGAAGCCACACTTTGACCAGGAAATGGAGCGCTTAAAACAATTACAAATGAAAGCAGTAAGTGAGGCAACTGTCGAGTTAACACAGCAAAGTGCTAGCAATACAGTGGTACATAATGAGGAGCGACGTAAGCCTTGGACTATATTCCAGCGGGTGCAACGAAATCGGCATACACGTCTCAGGGTATGTTGAATCTATAATAAACCATATTTACTTATTCTAGATAAATATTAATCTGCAGCGAAGAACTGGTAAACGCCCCCCACCACCAACCGAACAGCAATGCCCAGTGTGTAACGCCTCTTTTCCATTAGAAGAAATAGAGCAACATGCAGAACAGTGTCTACGCCGCACTAATGGCGCAGTCAATGGTCCTGATGGTGGTAGTTCAAGCAATGAAGACGAGAATGGCGAGGAATACGAAGAATATGAATGGGCTGGTCAAAAACGTATACGTGTTTCCAGTCTCTTACAAGGCGGTTATGCTGCAATCGGTGTAGGACAGTCTGTAGCAAACCACAGCGCTGGCAGTGTTCCAAATAACTCCCAGATTGGCGACGAAGAGGAAGAAGATTTAAATGTAGACGAGGATGACACTCATTTATATGGGCCGGCGCAGTACGCTGAATCTGATGTTATACCACCCATAGCGGAGGAGAATGGCAATAGTGCAGATGGTGATGTTACTAGTTACATGCGACGTCTAATAACTGGCTCTACTGAAACAACTCTAATCAGCGCTAATGCGACGGAGTTGCAACGCGCAATTAATAGTACTAATACGTTAGCTGGAAATATAGAATTAAGCATTCCACGGGCTGAAATAACTGCCGATTTGGTTTCTAAAGAAAAGCAAGAACTCAAATCACATACTGTTGCGCAGCAATATAGTTCGCAGATAATAGAGTCATTGAAAAGTAAATTGCGACATTATGAAAATCAAGTGCAGAATAAGTTTAAATGCTTGATTTGCTTAGACGACTACCGAAATCCAGCTATATCGGTAGCTTGCTGGCACGTGCATTGCGAAGAATGCTGGCTGCGCTCGCTAGGAGCACGAAAGCTCTGCCCACAGTGCAATTTGATTACAACACCAAAAGATTTACGTAGAATTTATATGTGAAAGAAGCGTAGTAATACAAGTATTTGGTAGAAGTATAATAAGTTTCCTACGTATACGGATTTTAAGATTTATTTAAATGCAAATGTTTTTCATTTCAGTACATTTGAATCAGTTTTATACAATTTTTCGTATTTTCATGCAAATTTATACACTTATACATTTGAGATAAGCGTGATATATTAAAATAATATAGCTAGTATTTAAGAAAACAGATCCGAAGCTGTGTTGCAGTTACAATAAAAATACAAGACATTAAGCTGTAAGAAATTGTGGTAAACATAAATAACGAACACTTAATTGAAATTTTTGAATTCTGCATCTCTGAAGCAAGTTGGCGAAGAAAGTGTAAGGGTTCGAATAGTATAAGAATTTCTAAGACCCGCCGTTTTTTTGCGGCTACTTAATCTTCCTTTAACACAAATGTCTTTAATCGTCGGAGTTAAATTGACGGTATTGAAGGCTTCCTGAATAAGAGAAGTTTAAAAGGCAGGTAAAGTGTTGATTAGTGTCATTCGGGTATCAGAGTAATGCATATTTAGAAAACTGTTAAAAAGCGTGGAACTTTCCCAAAGAGGTTTGCTGCTGGACCAGAGAACGCTGCTGGAGTGACCGACCTTATGCAGGTATACATACATACATACGTACATACATTCATCCCTGTAGTGAAGATTTCAGTTAAAAGTAGTTTTAGCAAAATATTTTATGTTTAATTGGTTTTTGAATATCCGGTGGCAAAGGTTAGCCGCTTAAGCCATTTTGAGGACTTTCACCAATCCGTGCCCTCAAATTAGTGCTCCCTTAAATAAGAAAATATTTCATCTCTGTTTTCATGAATCATTGTTTGCTTTTTTTATCGAATACCTTGATTTTTAATCTAATCTAATAGCTTATTCGCTACTACTTTACCGTTATTCCTTAATTCCTTATTCTATTTAATTTAAATTGCAACCTTTTTACATGCAGTAACGCTACATAAATTGTACATAAATCTTTAGAAAAACCCCTCCCATTTACGGCAAGAGAACGGCATTTTGTAAAATGCGAATCTTGTATGGCTTTTGTGGTTCCGTTTTTCATTTCCACTTTCATCTTTTTTCCGTTCGTAAATATTTACGACAGAGAACGTAATTAATTTACGATCACTCTTTCAGCAAGCCCAACACAAGCAGAATTGAAAATATTTGTAAACGTTCAAAATATCCCAACAAGCATTTCAGTAAAGCTGATGCCAGATAAAACTTTGGGGCTTTGATATTTATAACTCTGGCAGGTATACGGCTCTTAACTCGTTGCCTCCGCTAGACTTATTGTCTTGTCTATCTTCTTCGTCAATAGAGTCGACCGGCATGCCATTTTATTCCTCGGTAAATATAAGGATGGAAATAACACAATTAGGTAAGTTGATAGGTAGGCCTGGTTTTCTATTTACTTGGGAGAGGGTTTTCAACATAGATTTTTCCGATATCGATATTGTTCAGCCCGATATATCGCCATATCGATTTTATATGCAATTAATTAAATCGACTCATGATATCGATACTATCCTAAATATCGAACATTCCTACTTACAAGCTTCGAGTTGCCGCAACACAAGTTTCCGTGTCTTATTTCACAAATTATTTTATGGGCACTGTCACACGGTCAGTATTTATTGACGTGATCCAAGTAACGCGATATTTATTGACGGTGTAGCATGCAGTATTGATGGATCGTGATCCATATCGCAAAATTTCTAAAAAAATTGAAAGTCTGGATCGCGGATCGCAATACCGTCAATAAATATTGAATGTGTAGCACTTTCAAAACGCGATCCATACATTTCGTCAGTACATCTTTTACTCTCATGATGCGAACATCGAAAAGGTATTCATTCTGCCATCGTTCTAGGCGCTTAAAACCTTTCAAGTGAAATTGAAAATATTTTAATTAACATTGGAAATTTCAAAATAATTGTGGAATGCATTATTTGTAAATTATACGTAGAATATAAAAATATTTTCTTGCGTCATAATAAGCGTTCAGCACAAAATTTATGCGAATACTGACGCGATAAATATTGAACATGTAGCATTCGTGCGCGATCCATCAATCCATCAATATGGATCGCGATCCAAATATCGTGATAATTACTGACCGTGTGACAGAGACCTATAACGCAATCACGTAAAAATTTCCTCGGTATATTTCGCCGCCAATTCGCAACAAATCAACGTCGTTTTCATCTGACAGCTCGCGCGCTGTGTCTCGCTTGCCGCAGTAATTTGTAGCAACGCCGTTATTAAGGCGAATAGTTCAGCATCACAGTCTGAAATTTCAACAACGCGGAATACAATAGATTCGGAATCGGGAATGAAAACAAATAAAAAATATATATTTTTTGTTACATTTTGGTGTAAACTTTTTTGGAAATATTTAATTTAGTACATAAGTAATGTGTAAACGATAAGCGCAAGTAAATTGAAGCTAAACTTGGTGAATTTTACTACGCCAATAATATGCTGATACATTGAGGAGGAGGAGTATATATGTAGCAGAAACGGAAATGGTTGAAAATTGCTGGAAGCAATAGAAGAGCGAGCAAAAGAAGTGGCTAGAAACTTGTACAAAGTAGGAGAGGTGCAAAGCAATACGATAGTAATAGCAATAAAAATAAAAATATATACCTGTTCGTTGTGGAGGAGGTGGAGGATCTGCATGAGGAAGGCACCAACCAACGAAGAAGGAATTGAAGTTGACGCAAGCAAAAAAGGCCATTAATACGAAGGCAACGGGCAAGTGAACGACGAAAAGCTGGATGTGCGCTTGCAGGAAAATCGCGCACAATCTGCCAGTCAATTTGTAGGCATAAAATACGTTTTCTGTGCGCACGAAAGTAGTTGGAGAAGCAAAAGTGCATAAGATAAATGAATAAAAAGTTATAAAATTATAATAACACGCAAAGTCAATTCAACGAAAAAGGAGCTATAAAGCAAAGTGGCTGGGCATTTGTGCGGTGCAGTATCGTGTCGCCATGTTTCTGTGTGTGTAATTGGGCGTGTTCATGTGTTTGTGCACTAGCAGTGAATACGGGCAAAGGCAAAAGTGAAAACTTGCTTTTTTGTCATCGTGGTTGCCATCATCGTGGCCGTTGTCGTTGTAGTCGTCGTCGTCGTTGTACCGTCGATGTATTTTCGCATTTTTCGCGACGGCAAAACTACGAGTGTATTTGGCAAAATAACCAGCCAACCAACCAAAAAGCCACCAGCCAGTTTTGGCCGCGGCTTTGTATTCGGCAATAAAAAAATAAAATCAAATTCCTGGAACTCGAATTCGCAAAATTGAAAGGCGCGCGCGTGTTTTTCGCACAAAAACCTTTAAGAGGATATTTGCAATTCAAACCCACTTGAAAAATAAATTGCAAGTGTTTGAAAAATTATAGTGCTGCTGGCCAGTGAATTGGAAACACTCCAAAGTTTTATGTATATTCGCACAGAGGGGGGCCATTCGTGCCAGCCATCGCATTTGCCACCGCAACGCTAGACCACAGCGGCGGGATTATGTCATTTTGTATGTGTTTGCGTGTGTGTGTGTGCGAAATTCCAACCAATTATTGAATCGGAGTGCCATCAAGCGCCACAAAGATTCTAATCTGTAAATGAACTATGAAATTTCCAATAGTGTTTTACTAAACTCACAAGTGTTAAAAAAACGTATACGAAGATGTAGCGCAAACCAGATAAGTTTGTAACTAACAACTTTAAAATCATAGGGCAGAGAAAATCTGCATTTTAGAAAATGTATCCAGCGTATTTGCGCCGCAATTCTGTTGTTGGCGACGCAATCCACTATGAAGTACCCTCCAGCACAAAAATCAGCCATTTGCATTTTAGCGACGGCATTTTAACACAAAGCCGCCGGCTATTTGAATATTTTCGAAAGCAACACCAAATGTAATTAAAAATCAAAACTAACACTTAACTAAAGAAACATTTGTAAATACTTACCTACATACATATTGTAATCCTGTTTGTGCGCGTAGTTAAATGGCAACATTCAATGGTCATAGTACTAACACTGCTGCGGATTTGCTGGGCTCATCGGTTGCCGTCGCTGCTGCCACAGAGCATTTCGAACGTAGCACAGCTGCGGCCACCACCACCTTCTTAGTGCCCTCCACTGCGACGGCCAATGGTGCGCCATTGCATTTGGAACCTTTCAGTCTTGCAGGCGGCCCACACTTTGTCACAACAACTACATCACCATTGGGTGGTGCAACATCGGCTCAACACCATCAGCATCAGCATTCGCATTCACAGCAACAGCAACATCATCACCATCATCAACAAACCAATTCAACTTCAACCAGTTATACATTTGTACAAATCAAACGCGAACCTTGCCAAGTTTCGGAAGTGACCTCCGCCAATTGCCATCAAACACAGCAGCAACAGCATCATCATCAGCAACATCACGTGTCTACATCATCGACAAGTGGCGGCGGAGGTGGGCTTGGTGTTGGTGTTGGAATGGGCGTTGGTGTGGCCTCATCAACGTCCAGTTGTTCTGCTTCCATATCAGCCGCTTCCAAGACTATGTCCTCATCGTCCACGCTGACAACGCTTGTAAAGATAGAGGCTTCTTCGCCGAAGGTGAACGAAATGGATAAGACGTCAAATGTGAACACACTCACCGGAGCGGCCACAATGCCAAACACAAGTATGTTAATATAAAAAACAAAAAAAAAATAATAAAGAAATTCATCTATTCCGTACAAGCATATTACCTATCTACATACAAACTATACTGTGATACAAACATAATGTTTACCACTCCTCACTGACTTTCCGTGAATTTTAAAATATTGGGACTACAGTGAAGCGTCTGCCTTTGTGGCTTTCGATCGCACTTTTGTTTTTTGCTTGCAGATAACACAGTGCCCATTGGTATTGCCGTGGCGCGTAAGCGACCACAGGAAACGGCGGGCACACTCTCCAGCTCTACAGCCATCCCGGTGCAACAGACACTTAACAAGGATATGAATTGCTTTGGTATACGCGTAGCGGATCTGGGTAAGTTTTATTTATTCTTTGTCTGAGTGAAATCCATATTTGTAAACATTTTAGAAGTTGCATACCTTAGATACACACTCCCATCTAGCAGAATAGGATCTCATTTACACACATGGATTGTTATAACTAAAATATTTAAGTTACGGTGTCTTGTTAATGTGTTTGTTGTTGTTGCTGTAAAAGCATAAATATTTTCCTAAAAGTTTCGGAGAAAGCATTCGATAAAGAATAGCGCTATGGTGAGTTTCTTTGTTGTTGTTGTAGCAGCATACAAATTCCCCAAGGACTTTTTGGGGAGTGTTGCTGGAGTGACAGTCCTTGGCCAGATATAAATCTGGGTCGTTCCGGTTACGTAGACCCGACTTTCGTTTAGGTTGCTTACAATAGTTGCGATCCCATACGAGTCCCGACTAGTCAGAAATAGTCAGAATAAGTCAGATTTTACTGGAAATCGGTCCCGTACTCGGTTCTCTGACTATTGGGAGGACAACAAAGAGAGTAAATAAGGTCCTCTCTCTGTCAGAAGTTATCAGTTTTAGTCCGGAATAGGTCCTGTTTTGTTTTCCACCTAAAATAATTTGAAACATTTATTATGTTCGAAATGCAAACGGTGAACGCCAGCTGGCAGTGAAGCTTGCAAATGTTTGCTAGTTCCTGTTCGCGCAAAACTCAGCAAGTTTCTCTCTATGGGAGAGTAAGACACCTTATTCTCTAAATTCTATTACTGGCAGTTTCATAGCGAACACTCCTACAGTCTTCTCGCCGCCACACATGAAATCGGCTCCTTTATCTGTCCAGAAATTTGGCGCAGATAAAAAATAAAGAAGATATAAGAGGTTTATTTACTTTGTTTATTTATATTTTTTATTATTACTAAATTCTTGAAACCCCAAAGTAGATCATGATAAAACACGTATATCGAATTATAGATAATAACTTGTACTTTCTAAATAATATAAATTTCTTTTCCATTAAGTTAGCAGTTTTTTCAAAGAGGTTTTTTTATGAAATAAAAATATCAAAATCGTGACGTCATTAGTTTTTAATCGGTCATGTGTTCATAAGATAACAATATTTAAAAAATCTAAAAATTTAACTTTAAACTTCATTTTTTACTTCCGCCAAATAATTTTGACATGCTTGAAATGAGCGTAAAAAGTTCTATTGATCTGAATTTTTGCATAGCTGAACCGTCGGTATTCTAGATTTGTTCCAAGAAATGACGAATAACTTAAATTAAAAATGCATATTTTGACGTATTCTTTAGTATTTTCATTAAAACACCAAATATATTGCAAATTCCCATGGAATTAATACTACACATTAATAATACAATCATTTCTGATTGTATACTTTGCGTACTTTTTGTAGTACCTTTCTACTATCGTTTTCCCAGAAGGCGATCACATTGTTCCCCTTTCTCCTACTTCTAAAATACAAATCTAGATAAAGCAGTTTCAAACTTTAGCGGTCACAAATTACATAAGATTGTATTATTGAATCATGCTTCTACATTTTACTCAAATACACCAGCACATGGTGGAATAATAACAAGGTGTTGTCAGTAGCAACGTGTTTGTTGTGATTTTGACAAGATCGGCATGCTTATTTTCAGTGCTGCCGATCTCAATTTTTATACTACTATTCGTTGGGAAATAAATAAAGAACTTGATGTTTTCAGAACAATATTAATATTTAAAATTGCTGGATTTGTATAATTTTTGTCCTCAAAAAGTAGAAAAATAAAAGATATCGTGGTTATCAATGGAAAAAAACGTACACAAAAATCGTATGGAAAGGCGCTCTTTTATACTAAATAACTTTTGCTGCATTGTCATAATATTGAGCCAAATGAACTACTGATACACTAGAATAGGGATGCACAGCAGAGGTGCACGCAGTCGACGTCGTGGGCAAACTGCCTGCACGCGAGCGTGCAAGGCGAGGGGAAGTGAGCTGTACGGAGATGGCATCGTATACATATTAACCACTACACACTTATTTTCAAGTAAAAATGCGTGTATGTATGTGTACTTTTGCGACAACTGAGCCAGTGTGGCATCAGGCCACCAGAAAAAGCCAATTTTTCCAAAACAAAAGCGCCAAGTTTTTATTATCATGTTTAATAATTTTTTTGATTCAGTAAAAAGTGTATATACATATCCATTTCCTCACGTTTTTATTAATAAATTGATTTGTATACATTTATAACAACGTAAAACATACAGTGTTATCTGGCTGGAGTGAACACCCGATGCTACGAACACCTCGAAAGAGTGAACATGAAAATTTTTCCATTGAGTACTCTATAGAGTGAACAATTTTGTGTCTTTGTAGAGTGAACAAAATTGAAAACCAATTCCTTCCAAATTCAAAACTGTAACGACAAATTTAATAACAAAAAGGTTAATCCCTTCGCCAGGCCGATCCCGTAAATCCCCGTATCAGGGATCTCAGCTCGGAGATTCGGCAACTAGTGAACGTACATAAGCGGAAGAAGTGGGAAGACCATCTGAAGACCTGTAACTTCGGCTCTGGTGTGAGCAAGCTTTGGTCAACCGTGAGGTGATTGTCCACCGGGGAAACCGTCCAACAAAGGAGAGTCTTCTCGCCCGATAGCTATATAGAACTATTCAAGTGACGCTACTAGAAGACAAACGGTGGGCTGCGAAATACCTGAGTGGTCGTCAGTGATCTTTAGAGACAAATCGAGCAAACCTAGGAAAATTAAAACAGCGAGTTCAACAGGGTGGCGCCCTTTCCCCACTACTGTTCAACATTTACATTTCTAAGCTCCCTCAACCACCAGAGGTAGTCTCGATTGTCTCTTATGGTAACGATTGCTTGGTAATGGTTATTTCACCGAGCTTTCTCGCTTCGTCACTGCACGGAGCCTAACCCTCTCCCCTAAGACAAAGAACAAAGAAACGTTGCTGGCAACGTACAAGGCAATTGGCCGCCCGGTTCTGAACTATGCAACGCCTGTGTGGTTATCGGGGACTAGTAGGACGCAGTGGATGAAACTGCAGACTTGCCAAAACACGGCACTCAGACAGCGACAGGATGCCTTCTGATGTTGCCGAAACATCACCTCCGCAACGAGGCCAATATGCTCCCGATTAAGGAGCTAAACACAATGCTCTGCAAGCAATGCCTAGTAGGGTGTCACCGTGTTAGGTACCCGAACAGACATCTGCTTGCGGAAGAACCCTCGCGACGGCACGTCAGAAGGCATCTTTATGAACTGACGGACGAAGTCCGGGGGTTCAAAAAACTATCTCTGGACCCAACAGCCTACCGACAGTTATATAGACTCTCGATCTGTGTATGCCGTTATGGGCACGCAACCACCAGACGTGGACGAGACAGAGCTTCGTCTGCCTCGGGAGACTCGGACCCCATAGCCCAACTTCGATCTGGCTACTGCAGCAGGTTGAACTCATACTTGAGCAGAATAAATGCAGATGTGCCAAATGAATTGCCCGCATTCGGAGAGAAGCCCCATGACTCGCAGCATCTCTTCGCATACCCACTGAACCTCACCCTGCTAACGCCTCTGGCCTTATGGACAGATCCCATCGAGGCTGCACGCTTCCAGGGTCTACCGCTAATAGAGCTTGACGACAACGATAGAACAACAACAGGAAACATGTGTTGGCATTAGCTGAGGGAAAAGACGACATTTCAGAGTTCTTAAAAATTTAACTTCAAAAGACGTACTGCGCAATAAAATTGATTTTAAAGAACAAAAAACTCAATCTGGATATAGTGAACAATCTGCATTTTATGAACTGGTCTTGCATTAATTAGTTCACTCGACCCAGATAGCACTGTATTTAGTTTACCTATTCCTCACATTTTATTCAGTAAATGAATTCCATCTTAATGTAGAATATTAGTGTATAGTGTATACATACATACATATGTACCTATGCATTCAGTGTGCTTAAATTAAAAAAGCCTCACTACATAACGAACCAAACATTGAATTCCAATTATTTTGGCTTTTTGGTTTCCCAAAAGCACTAAGTTTAGTGCAAAATGCACTTCCTTGGCAACAGTGAGCTGAGCACATCAATGCTCAAACAGTGATGCCACACCAACTATTGAGTAAATGCGCTATGTATATTTTTCTTTTAAAGCAAAAGTTCTAATAGGCGAGGGGATTGATTTTTGGTTCTTATGCAGCGTTTTTGCTGCATTAAAAATGCAACATTTAGCACTTTCGAACATATGTTTTCGAAGAGCGTTCATGCTATAGCATTTAGCAAATGTACATTTACGCGAGTTCGAAATCGTATGCTTTTGACAAACAGCCGTGTTCCAGTCTCTTATTTAGATCCGTATATATTACGATCAATTCTCACGCAGGAGATAATGTGCAAAAACCCTACTGAAAAGGAAAAAATAAATTTTAAACCAAAAATTCAATACAAAAACTTGTATTGTTTTAACCATAACCGAAAATTTGTTTGTGTATATATTCATTTGTCGGTGCTGTCAATTAAAATTTTCTCACTTAATTAGGAAACAAAACGAACCGAGTTGATCACAAATTGATCCAGATTTCTATCAGCATCAAATCGATGTTGAATTTGCTTAACTTTTCTTTATCCAAATATGTAATGCAAAATAAAAGAAATCTCGATCGGCGATCACTGAAACGTAGTTAGCAACTGTATACTCGAAAAAGCAATGTTGCCACTTTTTCTCTTTAAACCATGTTCGAATCGTGGAAATTTTGGAAGATCACAGGGTTGCTCTTAGCATTTAGATTCTTAATGCAAAAATGGAGTTGCATTTAGTTGCATTTAGGTGACGAATTTTGTATGGATAAATGTACATTTAGAGTAGCATTTAGAGCTAAATGCGCTAAATGTGCTTTTACGCGTAAGCAAAAACAGCCTATTACATAGAACACTGGTAAGATTCACAAACGTATCTTAGGACAATAATCAACATTATTTGTAGACGAATATATTTGTGTTCGTATGAAATAG